GGTATCGAGTTGAAAAGTTTAGTATCGTGACAACCCTAGTTGACAGGTTGTAGCACCCTGAAAAAAAAGTATTTGTTTTACTTCCAGCTTTTTCAGTATAGTTTTTACAAATTGGACTACTAATATACTACTAATGCTTATATAAGCAGTACTTGAGTTGAGGGGCCCTTAAAAAAAATCTTAAGAATCAGCCCCCTGCTTAAAGTACAGGGACTGACCGCAGTTCTACTAAAATGTTTTTTTTTCTTTAAACAGGACTACTGTATATACGCCAATATTGTCTTTATAACCTTAAAAATCAGTATCCAGGTTCTTCTGACAAATGTTGACCACACAACTGCCCCCTAGTGGACATTCCTTAGTTTTACACCATTGTAACCAGATAAATAGCTGCACCTAAAGTCCTTCCCCACCCCATATGTAGATGGTGGAATGGTTCTAGCTTCTACCATGTGCTTGGATGATCTACCACGTGTCTAGTAAAAACACCACAAGTCTATTCTTACAAGATGGTACTTAAAATAAATCACTGAAATCCAAGTAATTGAAAGCCCAAATAATACAACCAAAACCATTTTACTTTTTTATTCAAGCTTGTCGTACATTTATTGCATTACATGCTCTTCTGAAAATAAGGTAGTTCCTCTCCTTTTCGACTTTAAACATTCCCTCATACAATTGAAATTTAATTGTACATTTAAATAAACTTAAAAAAAAAAATCTTTTCCATCTGTTAATTTTTTTTAAACTCATTTTTAAGTTTCATTATAAATTCTCACTTCAATAGAAGGTGTTAGCCTTGAGAAACAAAATAAGCACAGTGTAGCAACCAAAATGTAATAAAACATTTTTTGCAGTTGCAGACACCAGTCGCCTGAGGTATGCGTCAGCAGCTTCCCATCGTAGACCTCATGTTACCTCTTCAGGCTCTGCTGAGCCTGCTTCAGTAAGGTGTCGAAGTCTAGTGCATGATACTTGCCTTTTGTAGGCAAGGGGTCATACTCTCTATTTGAATCTAAAAAGAGGAAAATGGAAAATGAATTAAATAGCAGCAAGACTTAACAGCAGACAGTTAGCCCAATAGTTAAAGATCCAAACCATGTTCTGAGCAAGTATTAAGTTCAATGCAATAAAGTTTTAAGCTACTGTATCTATAGGAGCAATCAAAAAATAACTTAGCTGAGGGAAAAGGGGTTTCTATTTAGAGCATTAAAGCTCAGATCTACTGCAAACTTGTAATTAATCTAAATATTTTCTTTGTCCAGGGTAAAGGGAAGATTATACTTCTGCAACCGCACACATCAAAAGTCGCGAACCAGATTTGCTGGTATGCTTCTGCACCGTCAGTCTGGAATTTCTAGGGACGCACAGCAATTTCCCGCCAAAGCGCAAGGGGGAGCATATTCGAAAACTCGCGAGAACTTCGACGGATTGTACTTCTGAACCTCCTCAATCAACCTTTCGTCGTAATCGTCCATTGTTTTTGTTCCCATTTTTAAAAATTGCGCGCCCCGGCACCGAATCGAGAAGGATGACCTCAGACAACCGGAAAGGCATAGCAAGGACCAATCACAGCTACTTTTAGTCTGAGCACTTCCGCTCGAGGTCTGCGGCCAACGATGCGTAGTCAGCTGGTATCAGATACAGAACCTCTGCGCAGGGGGCGGGGTTACGCACAAAGAAAGATTTGACGGTTGCAGAGGCTATGCGTCAGAAGCATAAATTGGCCTCAAGACTTTAAAGTTCTTTTCTGATGTAGAAGTTTACTCAGCGCTAAACCAAAATGCATTTACGGAAAATTGTGCGAAAGGAAAAATTGTTAAATTTGAAGCTTGGACAACTGATTAACAGTTCAACTCTAGCAGGTTTCATGCTCTAGGCTCTACTTGCAAAATGTCTGTTTTAATAAGTGAATAGTATGTGCATCGTACACCCTGTTCCGCAAGATATGTGACTGGCATAAAATTTTGTGTTAAAGATTAACAACATTGAATTAGTAATCACTGGTTTTAACCTGAAATTACTGGGAATCTCCAGCAATATTAATTCAAAGTAGAGTATCAATTTATAACTTATTTTCTTTCTTATTGTTCTTTAAATATGTACAAGATACTATTGTTTTATATGCTTGAAAGACAGTTAAAC